CACTATTTGCGCAGCCCCCAGGGGGTCGAGAAGCCTGGGCGGCGTGCCCCCCACCCATGGGCAACCTTTCCAGCGGCGAACCAGGCTCTCTCCTCACTCTGGAAGCGGTACCACGTCGCCCTAACGCAGGACGCGGGCGTTTCCCGCACCCACCGAAGGCGCCGGTTGGTGCCGGGGCCAGTCGGGCGCCCTCTGTTGGCCTTTGGTGGGAGGCGAACGGAGAGCGGAGCCTACGGTTTAGCGGTCGCCGCGCGCCCCCTCGCGGTCCTCTCGCGGATCACAGAAATTCTCGAGGCCGGGCAACCTCCCTGTATTTTTGCTGTGGTTTTGGTTTTTATCGCTAAATTCATTTGTTCCGAAATGAAACAAAACAAACAGGAGCTGAATCAATCAACCCTGTCCCCGCCTCCTTCCTCTGCCCTATGTTATGAATGAGTAAGTTCATTCTTGTATTATAATAAATAATAGGACAGGGTGACAGGGACTGGGTGGCAGGGACTGGGTGGGGCTGAGCCCTGGCCCCACTTCTCCAGGGTAGTGTCAGGTTATTTGTCAGGTTATTAGAGCCCCGTGATCAAGCCCGGGTCCCCCTGGGGGCTCTGCATCTCACACAGCAGCTGCATGGTCTGCCCTGCGGGGGCTTCTCAAGTGCAGCAGGGCAGGCTCCACATTGTCAGAGAGGCTGCCTCTCCCAGGTCACCCAGGCTAGGAGCAGCTGCAGTTGCCTGGGAGACTGGGGGTAGGGCTGTGGGGGGCTGTAGTGGGCTCCCCAGCAGGGTTCTGGGCAGCCCCCAGGAANGTGAGGGTGGGGGGGCTGTAGTGGGCTCCCCAGCAGGGTTCTGGGCAGCCCCCAGGAACTTGCCATGCAATTCATTATGCTGGCCACCAGCTCAGGCTACCTGCAGCTCCTGCAGCTCCAGGAGCTTGCCCTTGGTTTCCTCTTGTCGTTAGCCAGCCAGCTAAGCTCTCCCNCTGTCGTTAGCCAGCTGGTTAAGCTACCCCTTCTCCCGGTGGCACTCCCCCAGCCCCACCTCTGCTTCTGGTAAAGGGTGGCAATGTGCTGTTCTCCAGTGGTGTCTGTCTCTCCAGACAGCTGAATGTGGCGATGCTCCAGCTCCTTCGGACCCACCTGAGCTGATGAAGTAGCACTGGGGGAAAAGGACACCTCCAGGTGACATGGTGTCATTCATGCTGTTTCCGAGATGATCAATCCCATGTTCTCAGAACGTGCTCTATTTATTTATTTACTTACTTACTTATTTGATTTCAGAGAGAGGAAGGGAGAGGGAGAGAGAGAAACATCAATGAGAGAGAGTCATTGATCCGCTGCCTCTTGCACCCCCCCCCCACTGGAGATCTAGTCGAAACCTCGGCATGTGCCCTCACCAGGAATCCAAGGGTGACCTCCTGCTTCATAGGTCAACGCTCAACCACTGAGCCATGCCCGCTGGGCAGAACGTGCTCTGTCAGCTGATGTCTGTAACAATCCTGTTATGCCTTTTTGTCCTATAAGGACCAATTTGAAAAATCTGAGTATTAACCCTACCCAGTGCACAAGAGAGCGACCAGTATTAAATATTGAACTTTTGTGCTCTATGAAAAAGAAGCAGACACCTGGTAGAGGCTGCCTCTGCCTGCTGCCAGGCAGGGGGAAAGGCTGCAAAGAGTAGCTGGGACCAAGACCCAAATAGGTGCCTGATCCCATCAAGCCACTTCCCGGTGGTGGGCGGGGTCTCCCCTGTGCCACCACCCCGAAGCAATGGTGTGACCCAGCAGGGGACCCTGGGAAACTCCTAAGAAGCCAGGCCCTCTGCTCACCTAGTCATTGCCTGGTTCACTCCTCAGGCCTCCAGACAGCTTGCTCAGGTGGCAGACGATGCAATGGAAGGGGTGACAAGTGGCAGGAGGCCTAGCCAGGAGCACTCAGGAAGACCAGGTCGTTCCCACAGGGAATCTGAGAGGACTTACTCCGAGGGAAACCTGTCCATTGGAGAAAAAGAAGATTCGCACCCCTATGAGAGGCGGAGGAAGATCATGGAGACTGAAGAAGGCTCCCACTGCGGAGGAGGTGGGATTCTAAGCTCCTGTCCTTTTTACTTATTTATTTATTCTTTCTGGAGATTATAGGGTAGGCAAAGCAGCAAAACCTAGAAGGTTTGACCTTCATACGCTGAAAGTGAGGGAAATCCCAAGGTGAAGGCCAGATTCCTTTGGTTGTGGGCTCTGCCGCCTTTGGGATCTGGACTTGAGGGAGGGTTTCCTGGAGCGGGCATCCAGGCAGCTGAGGTACATCGACAGTGACCGGAAAGGCTGCCCCTGGAGGCAGTGGGCATGGGAAGAAGCCAGGCTTTGGGGGTGGGGCTCTCATGAACTCAGGTCAGACTTGGAACCTCCACTAATCCACTCTCCCTCAGACTTACAGAGATAGGTCAGGGACCACTCGCTCATTAGCTCATTACCGGCTTCCTCTCCAGAGATCACCAGGCGGAGCCAGGTGGCTAAGAGCTCCAGGCACAAGCCGAGGAGAAGCCCTGATGGCTCCCTTGGAAGTCTAGACAAAGTAAACCTACACCCAGAAGAGAAGGTGAGGGAACGACCATCCCCCACCCAAGGGAGAAGAAAGGACAAGCCTGACTCCACCCAAGGGGACCAAGGAGGTAGGTGTCTGGCAGTGCTTTTGCAGAGGTGGGGGTATGGACACCTGCCCTGAATCGCAAGTCAGCGCCCAGAGGAGGGAGGGGACAGACACTGCCCCTGGTGAGATGCTCCTAAAGCCCTAAAGGGCTGAGAGAGGGAGGCCCAGGACTTGGCAGTGGATCCCACCAGATCCTGGAAGGGGCCACCAGTCAGGCTTGGTGGGGTGAGGGAATGGACAGGTTTTGCCCACCCTCCCCCGCAACTCAACCACAGGAGGGCCCTGCCCAGAAGTCCGGCGAGAACCCCGGGCCCCGAGGCTGCCAGGGCAGCCCAGAGGGCAGGCCCACGTCTCCAAAGCGCCGGCGCCCCCACCTGTCTCCAGAAGCCCGTGCACCCCGGGAGGTCCTGACTTCTAGGCTCTTCCACCAACTGGGTGCGATAGAGGTGGCCCTGGACGACCCGCCTCCCCCCAGGGCGCGGCCGAAACCCCGGAAACACCGCTGGGCGTGGGCCAGCCCTCAGCTCCCAGGGGGGCCCAGCTCAGGGCCCAGGGGGCAGGTTTCCAGCGGGCAGCCTGGAGGCCGAGTTTGCAGAGGAAAACATTTATGTTCTCCTAGGGGCTCAGATTACAGGGACTGCCATTGATTGGGACCTCTCCCCATCCGATATTTTCCTGTTTTATATGAAAACGAAACTGTTTGAAGAAACAGGTGTGCTGTGTGTGTGTGAGTGGGTTCATCTATTCCTTTTCATCACAGCCTGTATCTCGAAGGCAGCTGTGCGTGTTTCAGTTTTACCTGAGAATGGATTTAAGGTGAAGGTGTAGAAGCCCACTCAGAATCAAGCTTTACCTTCAATGAGCACGCCGGGCAGTTTGGGGGGTGTTCTGTTATTGAACACGGCTTTGACTCTCAGTCCATTTGCTTCCACTGAGTCGCAATAAATTTCCTGAATATTTCGAACCTTTGCCACTGTGGAGCAGCCGCTGCACTTGCGAGTGACCCGTTAGCCTCTCGAGTCTCTTATCTTTCTAGTGGTTTTCCTATCCTGATCATTCTTCTTTGCCCTGCGCTTTGGCAGCTATCAAGTTCACGTTCACTGACATACCTACAGCGCACACGGTGTGAGCTCACATGCACATCAATGGACGGCTTCCGGATGTGTGAGCTCCCAGCTGCTACACCGACCCACGCGTGGGCCGTTCCCACCAGGCTGCCGCTGTGCAAGCCTGTGGCCCCAGCCTGCGGCCCAAACACTGACCTGACGCTTCTCCTTTCAAAGGAATTCCTTCCCACAGAGCATTTTCTCCTTTTCTGTGCCTACTCTGAAAGCGTTGTCACTGCGCCCCACCAATCCTGCCTCACCTCTCCCCCCGGCATGTATTAATGCAATCGACGAGCAAACCTACATTCTCCCTTTAAAACTGTTTTGAATTGATTTTTTAGAGAGAGGAAGTGGGAGAAGGAGGGCGGAGGAGGCGGGGAGAGAAAATCCATTGCCTCCCGCAGGCGCAGGGTGCCCTGACCCGGATCGAACCCGAAACCTGGGTAGGTGCCCTGCCCTGGAATCGAACCCGAAACCTGGGTAGGTGCCCTGCCCTGGAATCGAACCCGAAACCTGGGTAGGTGCCCTGCCCTGGAATCGAACCCGAAACCTGGGTAGGTGCCCTGCCCTGGAATCGAACCCGAAACCTGGGTAGGTGCCCTGCCCTGGAATCGAACCCGAAACCTGGGTAGGTGCCCTGCCCTGGAATCGAACCCGCCGCCTTTTTGGTGTTTGGGACGAAGCTCCAACCGACGGAGCCACACCGGCCAGGACGACATCCTCCCGTTTTAACCCCTGTCATTGTACTTAGCGATGAACACGCACAGAGTCTCTGCTTCTGGCTTTAAGCACCTCTCTTCAAGAAATATCCTCCCAAGACACAGGCTCAGAGGTTACCTGCAGGCCAAGGGTTACACAGGAGAAGGAGCCCTGAGGCCAGGCACCTAGTTCCGAATCTTGCGCTTCGTAGCTACCGTTCGTGCGGCCGCGGCTTCCCTGTCAAAGGCAGCATGGGGGTGATTTGCAGAGCGCCCCGTGCGGGGTC